CATAAAGTAAATAAAATGCAGAAAAATCTGCACCTTTTAGGGGACTGCTTACTGATTGTGATTATACGTGTTGTTGGCTGAAATGATCATTGAAAAAAAAATATTCTCGATAAGAAAATATACAGAAATTGTTAAAATCGTTTGAAATATGATGGATCCAACAAAAATGTAAAAGCTTCGCACTGCATAGCCTGACACGCTAATATTCAACTAAATATTGGTACCGTTAAATATAGATAGGGTACCATTTATAGTCGGTAGGACGTCCGCTACTTATGATGTTATAAAGAAATTAATGGAAATGATTGCTAGTCTCAGAACAGAACAAACTTTTGCAGCGGTGCGATCGATTATCTTTGCCCCTAATATGCCCTTTACTCTTTGTTATACCTTTTAATTTCCAACGAATTTCATATTTGTTCGAAATCTTGCGACTCATACTTTAGATACTAATGATCTGAATAAGATTAATGATGTGGTCCGATCGGAAATTTATGAAATCCGTAGAAAATGTTTTTATTTCGGAATCAGCGTTCGTATCGAACCTATGTAGATCCTTCGCCGAAAAAACAATCGGCCACTTTTGGATTCCCGGACCGCAATTTTCGAAAATTAAGCGCCACATGCACACGCATACCGATGACACTGTCGGACGAATGTGGTAACGAAGGTAACCATCTCAGGCTCGGCGAAAGGGCTTGAGAATGTGTCTAGAGAAAAGTGAATTATAAGTTCACAGTTAGTTGCTCATATGGTGCAAACACGTGCACTGATCGAAAGCACCAGACGAAATTGCACGCAGTGATTATAAGTGAAGCGGATACACGTGTAATTAGAACGATTCAAGGGTCACATTCGATGAAAAACTTTCTGCAGATATTTTATGGCGTCATTGGATAGGCAGCCATGCCGACCTAAAGCGAACATTTGAAATGGGTCAATCGTGCAGTTTATATGTTGCCGTAGTGGTTACAGCAGCTTTTTTCCTAACTAAAGGCACCGGACTGAATCAAATGGGTTGGGGGCAAATGCATATCTAGGCACAGATAACGAAATGCATGAAAAACAGGCCGGACCCATTGAACTGGTCAACCCAGTGAATCAACGTTGAATTGATTCTACCGTGACTATATATATATATATATATATATATATATATATATATAAAACCCGAAACGGGATATGCAATAAAGTATTCTTAGCTAAATTGAGGAAACAACTACACAGATAACGGCGTCGTCACAAAAATATCGCCCCATTAGACAGGCAGACACAGGCTTTGGCGGAGTGTCAGCATTGAAAGTTTATTGTCACCAATCTGTCGTACTGCCATTGTTTATGCTCAACTTAGGTAAGTTTAACAGTGTAGCGAAAAAAGGTTTTTACGTGTGAGGATGTTTTGTGGTTATTTCGGGGATTGGTGACCGTTAAGGTGATCTGCGCAGCTTTCATGGATAATTACGGTTAAGTTATTAAATCACTATGGAGCTTACGACAGATGGTGTATTACGGAGCTGCTACCGTAGTCGTGGACTAGTTTCAAACAAGCAAATTTCACGCCTTGTTGAACTATACGGAACAGCATTAATTGCATTTTAGCTAACCAAAATAAAGGGTAAAAAAGGACCAAGAAGCCAGCGTTTGTCCACATAACACTATGTAAGATATATTCATCAGCATATTATGTAGAATTGGACCTATGTCCAGCGTAAGTCTGGTGAATCTGTTGCGAGAATATATATTAGCGTAATTAGTCTGGTATATCTAGCTGATCAAAAGTCACAATACAACAACAGGATGTCCTTGTCCGGCGGTCACGCCTGTCTATATATAATGCGCACAAGCCATTATCCAATCTACCAGCAAATTTATCTGCAATTACCCTGGGCCTTAGCTCCTTCAGGCAGAAATCACCTCGCATCATTGACTACGGGGATGTCTTTGTAAGCAATGATAACTACCGCATATGTTTTTTCTGAGCAACTTACCTAAATAGCTCAAAAGTATTCTCAAATCATATGATGGGTATCCAGGATCTTTAAAGCCAGAAGCGCCAAATGATTAGAATCGAAATCGAATAAAGGTACCATTTTATCGATAGAAATGGTACTTTTTTTTACTGGGAATTTATAAACTGTGTATCTGATCTAATGGACAGTAAACTTCTGCATTGGAAAAACAGGCTAATCCGCAGTGCAGGAGGGGTTATCACGGCACGCTGCGGCCTAACCATATGCACGCCTATGTACGCCTACATGAAATCCGTCTGCCAGGCCACCAGAAAGATCAAGTTCGTCCTCGGACCTGACACATCGTCATATGTTCAACTTCACACATCCTGTGCTAGAGCTTCCTGCCAGCATTAGTGAGTTGTTGAAAACGTTTCAGCGATCTCTCGCATTCTAAATAGACTCCGCTGTAAAGATGGGATCGAGCTCAAGCGACAAGAGTTCTTGACAGGAAGGCAGCGTCATTTCGTAGCGTATCCTGCTTATAGAAAACACACAGACCGCAACCCTTGATAAAGTGGACCCTGTATATCTATTCTAATCAAGACGAAACATGCATGTACGTAAAATATAAATTAAACATATATTATGTAATTAGTTCAACACAGCATTTCATAAAATAGAAGAGTCGTATAGCATGGTTGTGTAATATACGGAAGCGATTCAAATCAGCGACGCTAGACATCTTGGAATACTAGTAACTTACCAAGCCGTTAGAAAAACCTTGTAAGCACATCTTTTTTTGGCGTCCGCCAAATAATAGCTAGTGTTTTTAGCAAGTGCCGTCACAATTAAATCTAGGTTTATCGGTAAACACTACTAATTAGAACGAAGAATATAAAGATACTCGAGGAGTTCAATGAGCATAGATTACATAAGGTCGCAAGATTTGATTCGCTGGTAGATTTGTTAGAGAAACTAAAGCCATTGGCGGGTCTTTATGACTGTATAAAATAACTTCTGCTAAAAATGAAACAAAAAATACTCAAACAAAAAGTTTACTTTTCTTCTTGTTACTATCTTAATTAAAATCATAAATTGTTCACGTTTTAGTATAGGTCTTACAGTTATATTTTAATCTGCGATCCCCGAATGTTTGCCATGCGCCAATGATAAAAGGCTTCGTCAAATCTATGGTAAATCTAGGCTGAATTAGCTTTCATTGTGTCCCATGACTAGACCTAGCTCCAAGTTTTTAAGGCCATTTTCTCAAGTAGAGAAACCTTATTTAACCTTATTTCGAGGCCACACCTTACCTGCATGAAGTGGCGTCACCGTAGTCTTTTTTTACATACTATACTTCCAATATAGCAGTGATAAATCTCTTGTTAGTAAATATACTGGTCGCTATCTCTTCGATGAACGTTCGAATTGAAGCCTAATCCAGCTGCAAACAAGGGAAAATCGGTACGATTTACGTAAAATTCGTTAAGGAAAATTAGCTTTCAATAAGAGTTGTCCACCCAAATATTTTACTGTGTTTAGCCTGTTTGGCTGTGCAGAGTATACAGGTCGAGTCCTATGTCCATACGTGCATTTCACTGTATTTGTGCGCTGTGTGTTAACTTAATTAGCTAATAACTTTTTGCGGTCGTACTGAATTGTCGAAAGCTGTATACAGTAACTTTGTGTTTATCTCATCGATCAAATTTAGTGTCATCGACAGACATACATATAAAAAGTTTTACAAGATAGTTTAATAATATAGTATTTATAGTAAATCGCATAGGTACAGGACTTTGGGAAGTCCTGGAAGTTGGATAGTTTGAACTATTCGCAGGAACAGCCTCCGGTTTACAATACAGAAATACCGGTTGCAGCAACTAAAGTTTCCTTTTCGTAGAGGTCAGAGAATTAGATATTTTTCAGTCAGTGATCAGAATGCGAACTTTCTACTAAATCGGCGAATAACCATAGCAAACAAACGCCACCTGTTCCATTCCCAATAGAACGCTAAGTTTCCCGTAAACATCAAAATATTTCTAGTTCTTAATAAGAATTCATCGGCGTGTATCTATGAAATCATAGCTCGTTTCTCTACATATATCAATAGATACAAATAGATTTAAATAAACAGAGTATTATACAGACGTCCTAGTCAAACATTTTGAATACATTTGCATTTTACTTTTTTGCAGTAGACTGATTTATTGAACAATTGTATTAAAGTAAAATCACTCTAAAATCGTATTGCTGAGCTTCTAATTCAGTCACATTCCTTATATATATATATGCCAAACCGCTCTATGATTGTACCCCTTTGTTAATACGAAAAAGTATTATCGATACGATATACAGTATAATTAAACGTGCGTGTAACACAGATCGCTACTTTTTCAAAGCGACGCATAAGAAGACAGTTTTTGTGAACAAAAAAAGCAAGCTAATCGATAATACCGTTGGATTGCGCATATTACCTTTTTTAGTTATTGGCAAAAAAGCTAATACTAGCTCCTAAAAAAAAAACTTAAATGTACTTATAATTAATTATTCATATTCTTTAATATTACTGTCGTTTCTGTTCTAACTTCGTCATTGACCTAGTCTATCTAGCGCCTCAGAGGAATATAAAGATTTGAAAAATGCGGCTAAGCTGCTCCATCGGGTAAACAGAAACTCTCCTCCCCGTGAGCGCTATGGCCCGGTCGCTCTTTACCAGTGCCTAGTTTTACCCTTTCGTGTAACGCAGCATTGGCTCACTTTGATTGCTGCGGGTTTCTGTGGACACGCAGGTTTATGCGATAGCGTCTCACAGGCAGCATGTGAACTACGATTCTATCGGTGACATGTATAGAGAGCACTGTGAACTATAGCTACATTATTAGGTGAGGCCACTCGAAGACGAGGAAACGGCCTTCACTGTGAGTGGCCTTATTACCATTCCCTCAAGGCCAACCTGGTTTTGTTCTAGCTTAGCTCGAACACAAACGCCTCAAGTTAGTAACTGCAACATTCAGGTAGTCTATTATTGATATAGGCAACAATTTATTTTCAATGCGTTTGAACGGACCGTGTCTATCTTGATGTCTGCGTGCCCGGGCCGTTCAGCCCTCTCGCATCGCTAATGGAAATGACGGAAAGGGCATACTGTTGATCGATTCGACTGTGACATCACATTTACATCCTCCGTATATAGAGGAAATAGAACAATGGATACGTCGGAGTTGGTTGCGTCTCTAATATTTTTGGTCCAATTGCGGCGAAAGTACCGTTTTATTAGATCTTCAACATGAATATGTCACCACAATTTCGACAACATTTGTAATTCTTTAATATGCTAATTGCTTATGAGATGGAAATTTGGTATTTGGTGAGGCGTTCTAAAAGGTTGCTATCATTTCTAGATGTTTTTTTGTAGTTGCTGGTTAAGTCGGTCTAGATGTAATTCGCATGTTTTAAAAGTTCAACATAAGAGAGAACGAATTAAGTTTGTTGTAGATATTATCCTGCGCATACAGAACGTGGCGAAAAAATGTGATCCTATTCATAGATTTTTCAATCCAGTCGGCCAATTTACATTATGACTTGTTCTATCTATTAATTTATCTGTACGCCATACTTATGCTCATGCTTACCCCCCTACGAAGGCGTACTCAAACGTAACTAATACAAAATTGTATTAGGAATCTGTTAAGATACCAATAATGCTTACTTTATAAGGTTTAGTTCACAAAAAGCAGGTAACTATTGTCTGTAGCCAAGGAATCGGGCGAATATTTAATTTCGATGTTAAGCTGTATAACTTTGGAGTACGTCAAACGAAATTGAGCTACCAGCTCTATACGTAAAGCTTGCTCGTAGGCATCATCTCTATATAGTTAGCCTGCGACAGCTTGCATCAGTGTCACAGAATGGGCCTGGTCATTTCATCAGGCTGTAGGGCACTTCAGTCTTTAACTCTCGTCATAATCTGTTTGCTATTGTTTCAGGGTCGAAATGCTTTTTGACTTCGGTTTGGCGATCTCGTTATTCTATATCGCTTTGTATTTGTACTTCTTTTTCGTTTACTAGAGGTAAACAAATCCAGCTTTAGTCTTTGGACGTCTACGATGCTTAATGCAAAGCGCGAAATAAAAAATGGCGCCTGCTCTAAAACTACCCGATATAGTGAAGTTTCGGCCTGAAATATGGAACTCGAGGCCGCTTGACGAAGACTATCTACGGACAATGTTCGCGAAAAAATTCTGCTATATGGATGAGAATCAATGTCGGATGACGCTAATAAATTTGTTTACTGTCCTAAACCGATATCGGTAAGTAACACCAACTTTTCTAGCTGGTAGAAAAAGCGTTTCGCCAGAATGCAGGCCGCTTTAGTAGCAATTCGTTGCCGTATTATTAATGTACTGGTATCAATCATTAACGAGCATTTTGTGTATTCGGTAGCAAGAGTGTTTTGCCTCTGTACGTAGATTTATGCTTCAAAGCAGATGAGTTTATAATAATAATAATAAGAAGAAGAAACGCAATACAGATGTACTGGAAATATCGTTACCAATTCATAAATGTAACATTAAAAGTAAGTTAACATCACGTTTATTCAAATTTGCTTTTTCCTTGACGAAGATCATCTGATAGTTTTAGCAGATCCGAAAAGTCCCGCGAACGTCTATATGATATGGAGAAGATTTAATATATAATTTGAACGAAGTGAATCCACGATGAGTTCTCTGTTCCACGCTATTGAACCCAACCTTGAATTCATTGCCTTTGCAAATGGTTGCTATGATAGCACAGCCATGAAGGTCCAACGGTCCTGTGAAAACGCAGTGGGTAGCGTGCTTGCCCGTTACACTTAAGGGCACGTAGCGATCAGGGGTCGAATCCGAACGTAAACACACTTTTTCTCGTGCAAGCCGTTTCAAGTAATGCGGTAACAAACATAAAACATGAACATTTTGAAAATAAGAAAATGTTGCTGTTTATTAGCATTCTTCGATTAAAACACTAACTAGAGACCTGGTCCATCGCAGCCAGATGGTAGCATGACGTACGAATCAGGCTGTGGCTACATATCAATTCAACTTCATTTACAGAGAAGTGTTAGAGGAAAGGATGCGTGAAATCATGAGGGCATCCATCTCCACTATGATCTGTGGTCTTGCCGTGAATATCCGTATATATCGAGACGTTGCTTTGTTACTTCAAACGGATGGACGCATCGAAACGCAAGTTGACGTTCCAGTTGGCGACGGAATGCAGAAGCCGATTGAGTTTAGGTAAAAACCTTGTCTAGATTAAACACCATGCTTTTTGTCTAATAGAGGTCTGACAATAACACTGCCATGATACTAGCTGACTACTGTAGTCTATCACAGGATACTATGCGATATGACAACTATATCCAAGGAGAATCATGCTCGTTTCAAACTATTATCCTCTAGGGACTTAATACATAATAATATACATATTATGATAGTATGTACATTTATAGCTTGTCATGCAGCAACTAACAAACAGCTGTTTGTCTACCTTCTCGCTCGCACTTCAGGCAACAACTCTCAACCGAGGTCAAGGACGCGACACGGAACATTGCGTACTTCGACATCATAGGACCTGCCTTAGCATGGGCTGCTGTACAGTACTTAGCTGGCGTGCGACGGCTTGAGGCAGCGAATAACAATGCACTAAATACGTTTACTCCCACCTTGGCCACTTCCGTGTACCCGCTGCTGGAATATACTGTTCGGACCGAGTTAGAGCGTTTTCGGAAAATGGGCGTTGAGTTAAAGATGCCGCGGGGCTGTCTGCGAATCCTGGAAAAAGCGCTTCCACGACTTGGAATCGACGGTCTGCTACCGATCGATGCCCGTACTCTCGTCAAAACAGCGGCAGTGTTTTTCAAGCATGTTCAGCCCACGAGGAGTGACCCAGAATGCCTCATGTTTAGCCGGCAGTTGGAGCGATTCATGCGCGTTTTTATCGCAGATGGCCTTGGTGCATGGGCCGTAGTCGAAGATATCACCAATGGTCGGCCCCAACTAGTGGCGTGTTTATTTGACTCGATCGACGAGATTTGCACAACTGCGATTCTCGAAACCAACCCCGAACTGGCTAAAGCGCTTGAAACTCTCCGCAATTTCCGATCGTCAGTAATAATTAAAGGTCAGCTATCATTTATGCGTAATTCGCACATGTCGTACTGTGTCTATGAAACGGGAATGCTCTCGTATCTGAATGCCAATCTAGCCCACAACAAGGTGCTGGTTGACTGTCTGCAGCGCGCCAAGGACCAGCTAGATAGACTTTGCCAATTAGAGCAAAAAGATGGCAGAGGCGAATCGAGGACAATATCATCCATGCCGCAATCTGATACTGAAACAAATAATTGCGATGAAGGAGATGCTGTCGAAAACGTTGAAACGATACCGTGCAGCAGTAACCATTGCAGTAGTGATAACAACGGTGATAAGATAAAAGAACACGTGAATATCGATGAGCTCGCAAAAGCAATTGCCAATTTATACAGAACCAAAAGTCAAACATCAAGATCTGATCTGGACGCCGATATTGATGACACCAATTGGGGATTTGATGATTTTTGGACGGAATGGCAGAATTTGATACCGGCGCGTGTAGGAATCGCCGGCGGCAACAGCAGCTGTAGTAGTAAGAAAAGGCGACGGCGAAATCGGCGACGGTCATAAGGAAATTGCTCGTAAAATTATAATACGATTCTCAACTTGAATACCTTTTACAGTGCTAACTCGTGCCACGGTGTCGTTAGAAATAAGTTTCGATCGAAGCCCAGATCGAAAGTAATATAGGAGTGGGACAAAGTTTGACACGCAGATGGAAAGCAACTCTAATCTACGCACAACTGCATGGAAGCATTTACTCTTGTAATATGATGAATAATGACGACAAGCAGAAAACACGAAATGAAAATTGGCTCACACTATTCATCAGGTTTATACTGTGCTCTATGCAGATATCCATAGATAGGCATACGGACAGATATCCAGGACTTTTCAAGCGTATAACCATCTGTAGGAACCGGCGAAGGTGAAAAGATTTTATCTTTGTAAATCACTAGGACGGCCCTTAAGCTGCAACCAGAGCGAAATAAATTTTCAACACCGTATCACAATTATGCTGTTATGGCGTCGCTATGAAGACCTTTACACGATTATATTTATGTGGAGCTATTGAATGGAATGCTTAAGCTTGAAATTAGTTCAGAGATATACTAATATGATATGATACATCAATAAACAAACAATTTCTTTAGTTTAAAATCAACCTGAAATGATATAAGTATAGGAATTAATTCCTCCGTTCTGTTACGCCTATGCGCTCAGCAGCAATATTAATATAACGGTCATATTATCTAAAAATGTCAGTCGACGACATAACGAGGAAGTGAATAATTTCGCTTAATTTTTTTCTTCGGATCTTTTCCTACACGGAATCAATTTCATTTTCAGAGTTCACTGGATGTTGTTTTCATCAGTCGCAGTGGCTTTTATTTGTTTTTAGGCTATTAAAGCATAGATTGTAACTGGCTCTGCTGAGGATTGTTATCGCTAAACGTAACCGCCGCTGTTAGAGGTTTTTTCACTCACAAATAAATGTCGTTAAAGCGTTTGGCCTGTCTCAACCTAAAAAATAGTGCCTATTTAACCAACTGACTATTTACAGAGGGCGCGCTTCTCAAAGGGTCACAGGCTGTTGGGAACGCTATGTACTGCTATGAACAAATTAAGCGATACTCGCGCCAGTCGCTGCTATACGCCAAAGCAAACCGTCTAATATTTTTCAGAAATAATATATATTTATATACAGTGCATAATGCAAATGGTATATAAACATCCATATTCCACAACTGTACTAACGTCAACGGTCGCTTTTTGTATATTGACCTATAGCAAATAATAAACGATATCTTTTCAAACGACTGTTTTCTTATAGTATAATAAGTGAAGGTCAAATTGTTTAATCTTATATCTTATTGTAATTATTCTTGCAATTTTACAGATAAATGGATGATGCGTGCTCCAATCGAGATAACCGAAACAACAATTGGCCGATTCATTTTTGTTTGTCGAAAATCAGTTACTTCTCAACCATAGGCCACTAATACGTTAAACGCTGCCCTTAAATTGACCCGCTGCGTGTTCTATAGTCGGTGATCTGTGTCAAAAGATGAGCAGTTTATTCTAGCTATTCGCCCTAAATAAAAAAAGTCAAAACTACAGAGAAGTAAAAACAAAACATATATATATATATATATATATATACGTTTATATACATATATTTTTTTAAATTCGGGTGGTATTATCAGGTGGTTCGTTCAGCATTATTTTGTTAGCTATACTTTGCAGCAAAGAGTTGCTGCTACTATGAAAAAAATCGGCACACAATTTGTAATCTTTACGTATTCCTAAGCCTTCCTAGTCTAAACCAACTAAATTGTATGCGTCGGTTTATTTAAATCTGATTTAATTACAATTGTTTAAATGTAAGTTGAAGAAAGAACTTGCCTAGAAATCTCCTACTAGGAGAGCTAGCTCAAAGATAATTATGTCAACTACCAAATGTTTCGGTTGTAGCCTGTTCCTTTTTTGCGACTGAATATCGTCTTTCAAACACTACGGAGATATTTTTTATTCCTAAATATTTTAAGACATTAACGTAATCTGGATTAAGCACACTCTCCATTCATAAACACACGTATGTACACAATTTATTGCCTTTTTATATCAAGTTTGGTATATCACCTAGAGCGCACACTACGCTGCAATTAACACCTGCTGATGTAAGGTCATTCCAGAATATTAACTTCTTATGGGATGCACACTCATGCATGCACGCAGCTTTACCTCGCTCAATATATTTACATGTGTGTAAATTTAGCTATTTATATTTATTTAGCTAATTGGCTGAGTATCCAGCAGAGAATTCGCTCAAATATAACTACATGACGCATTTCTTAGAAACCTTATAACAGGGTTATTAGATGCCAAAAATTGCCGCTGTCCTTACACCTAAACTATATACGGCACTCTGCAACTGATCTCCTGCCGCAAAGGGCGGTAGAGCTTTAATTAACGTGTAATGTGAACGAGTAGATACGCTTTTGTAGCCTTCAATTTCTTTGTTTTTTTTTAACATAGCATTCAGGCATTTAGGCGTGTGCTCATTTAAAGAAACTATTTTCGTAAGCGATTTGTCTCTGCATAATTCGACGCTAGCGGGTGAATCCACCCAATGGCCACACCGAAGCCTTTAAAGAAAGAGCAAACATATTCAGATATGTAGAGAACACTTTTCGAGCTCGAGCTTAATTTAAAACAATCCTCCAGTCCATAACCCGTTCAACTCGTATAGAATAGCACTTCTCGGAATATTGCGATACAGTTTTATCTAGGCATCTCATCACTCTGCAGTCATTAAGCAAACTGCGGTTCAGGTATTTTCATATCGGTTTAACTTTTTCAGCTCTCAGTATAGCTGAAAAGGGCTTCGATCTGGTCCAGTGTTCGTGGACATTTATAGCTCAGAATTCTCGGACCATCTTTTGTAATAAGAACGTCATCCTCAATTCGAATCCCGATACCGCGGTATCGAAAGGGCACGTCCGAGCGATTCTGCGGTATGTAGATGCCAGGCTCAATCGTTACCACCATTCCTGGACAAAGTTTCGTCTTCCGGGAGATTGAAGGGGTATCATGAACGTCCATGCCCAGATAGTGGGACACGTGATGAGGGCAGAATTGATATCCAATGCGCGCGAGCTCGACTTCCGAGCTTGCGCGAGGTTCCACTATACCCATATCTTGAAGACCCCTTGCAATTTGCGTGCACATCTGTTCAAAGAGGTCATCAAGCGTGTAGACCTCCCACTGATACAAATTTGAGATGAGTTTTTCGTGAACCTGACGGAGAAGGTAAAGAAATGGGCAAACACAGACAGAGATACACTGGAGTAGTTTAAAAAAGAACGCGTTAATCGAAGTGACACTGTTAACTACTATACATTCACAAGCAGGTTTTCAGAAGGCCAAGACTAGCGTAGCATTTCTACAAATATGTAACATTTGGGACAATAGAGGCGTTATCTTTAAATGTTTCTATTTATGGCCGTCGTCCAAATTGCGTCGTGAGACCAAATCGAAAACGCATTACCTATTTAAGCTAATCAGGTAAACCCCTAGTATCTTCTGTTAGCTGTATTTCTATCGAATGAGGGTTCTATCGGTGCCTTAAAAACATTCCTTAAATGAACAGCTTTTAGACATTGGCTATCATCGTTATTATTTTGCAACGGGACTCGATGATTGCATTCAATTAAACCAAGGCGTCCTTATACCTCTTGAAGTAGCTGGTACACCTCTCGTTGAGGTCGCGTGAATCTTCCTGTCACGGGCCAGGTTCTAGTTACGTCGCTGGCGTAGAGATGCACTTCGGCTCCCGCATCCATGAGAACCATTTCGTCAGCCCTTACAATCTGGTTACTGGCTATGTAGTGGATTATGTTAGCACGATCCCCCCCTAACCACCGCAAATAGACGACAACAAAAATATCAAAACAGAAAAATTTGACACGAAAAGGGTGCCAAATTCAGAATAGCATTTGCCATCCTGCTTTTACGATTTCAGTCACACTAAAATATACAAAAACACAAAATATATCTGATTTAATTACTAACAATATGTTCTCGTATAGGTCTGTTCCAATCTTAAATATAAAATTATTTTTTCAATAGATTACGTAAGTCTTGAGTAAATAGAAAGGCACGGTTGAAACTTTGTAACAGTTTGGGCATTCTATATAACAACAAGTAAAATGGTGCTAATTCTAGTAGAAAGTTCGAAGAAGGGCACTTATATGTACCAGGAGTTCAGTTACATATACACCACATCATCAATTACTCTGTACTGTATAATATGTCGTTGACTGTAGGAAACAAGCAAAACAGCCCAGGTATTATAATGAAAGCTATATCGGATGCGTGTATTACTTATTTGGCCTGTAGAATACAGATATTGTGGGGTGTTATCAAAATGTAAATAGTTGTTATATGATAATCGTAGCCATTTAACAGTAGTGACTCAAACCGCAAAATTCAATCTTACTTGACAAAAAAATAAAAGCAATCCAGACTACGGTTAAGTTCAGCTTATGACTAGTTCTTCAAACGCTTGAAAATGCTACAGTAGCGTAAATAATTTTTAGATACCTGCGATAACTGGGGGGTATGCGGGCCTCTGAGAACCCCGAATTCTGCTCTCGAAATCAAATTTAGCTCCTAGCTGGGTTTCTAAAACGAACGGATACGATGCACGTATTGTTTCAATGAAACTCTCGCACGTCACATCGGCCGCTTTCTGCATCACTTCCACCTGTAACAGCGATGACACTGATGAGATTTGAATAGGAATCGTCATTATACAGAGGGACAGAGTTCAGTATTCACGCAATCACCGTATGCGTACACAATTTTCTAAGGGAATATCTACTGGTCAATGTTGCTTAGCCAAAGACGTTATACGCAGTCAACAGGAAGATTATAGATGGTCACTAGCCATCAGGCGCAGCATAGATTAATTCGAGAAAACATTTTCAGGAGTACCAACAGATCAGACATTTCAGTGAGCCAATACGCAAACGGGAAACATTCTAAAAATCACTGTGTGCACCTCAGCCGAGCTTTTGATAAGACGAAGTCTGTGAATAACCGGTTCTATGGATTCGGACTTCGTTAGCAGATGATCGACTGCTCTGAAGTTTGTTCGCTGTGACCACTGCATGGCCTTCGGATAGCGTGAGATAAAGTGCTCCACCTCTTCCGTCGTGTACGCCTCGTCCACCTGGGTTTTCAAAACGAACAAATATACACAAAGCATTTACTTAAGTATATACTTGTACTTGTTAAGTTCTAAATGGTTCTCCCGGTACGACATCTTTATATTGCTACGAAATAATGCATCATACTACGGCCTCTGCTTTACTTTTCCTGTTAGACCTTTATTGTGACATCATCGACTTTTGTGTCATAGAGTAAATTACTGCACTTAAAGTTTGACGCGTGTTACCTCAAGCAATCGTTTAGCTCCCGAAGGCCCCGTGCGTGGTCCATCCCATAGTTCGTTAAGCGGGTCGTGCTTTGGGACAAACAGCACACTCTTTGGCCTTTCACCCCGCCGGCCATGTATTACGAGAACGCTATCAGGTTCCATAAATCCGCACAAATAGTAGAAATTACTGTTCTGTCGAAACGTGTACGGAATATTTTCTGTCATGTAGATTTTTGAGGCAGACGGAATTACAACGATGTGCCGATCTAGAGACGGCATCGTGTAGCACAGTAAATCGAATAATCGCTCCCTGTGGAAAATCGATAACCGACATGTCAGTGTGGTTTAGAGAATAGGACCGCATCGTATGCTCGTCTTCCTGCAATGCTAAAGTAAAGCAATTTATATACACGTTCCGTGTTTAAAGTCAAAGCACTGTTTTACGCGGATGGAGTTCAGCCGCCTGGAGCAATGCTTAACGAAGGTACCGGACATCAAACTTTCTCTCGCAGTTATTTTATCAGTAGCTAAGATGAGAACCTAAGATAATTTCATGAAGCAACGAAGCAATAATATGTACATGTGAAGCATTTTGCCGGTTTTTAAATGTTATTCGGCTTACAAGCTACTAATGAATAACGGAACAAGATTTGCTATATTTCAAGCATTGAGTTTCGCCGTAAGACATTAGCATGTATATTACTGAACTTCAAATAAAAAATGCAAATTATCTATTAATAAAATCCTCATCGTTTGGTTAAAATTGCCCTACCGAACATTTCCTCAAGTGTACAACTCTGACATCGGCCGTTCGAGCTCGTCCTAACTTTTACCTTCTGCCGGCCAATTCGTCGGCGGTGAATCCCGAAATACATTGGCCGGCCTTTACAAGATGGGGATGAGTATCTGCCGTCGGCTGACCTAAAGGCGTTACCGCACATCCCCTTCGAAGTAGAGGCGTCGGCTGATCAGTGCCTAATGCTGGAACAGAACACTCATCTGAGGCCTTCTTCGATGTCGAAACATTGGAAAACCCCGTTTTCAAATTCTTCGTCACCTTCGAAGCGCTGTGCGAATAATTTGATCGATTGTTCGCTGCGTAACTGTTGTTATGTTGGTTTTTGACGATCGCAAATGACGAGAAAATATGAAAAGAATAGTCCTGGTGGGAGAAGGTGCACCTTCCTAAGCCCCCTCGGTCTGGAATCAAAGGAAATCGTCGACATATAAGAGGAGAAGGATGGTTTGCTTTTGTTGAATGGAAAAAGTCCGTAATCAAAATGAGAGAAAACTTGTTGTTAGCGCGCATGGTATTGTCATTCAGACTTCAGCAGAAACGATAAAACAACAAGAACTGGCCATTAGTTGAAGTTTAAATTTGCTTAAGTTGAATACAGGTTAGAGCAAACACCTGTTTATAACAGTGATGTGCTGACAAAGCGTTATCTTTTCCTTGTCAGTTGTCGAAATCTAATCCTCATATGCCTGAGCCACACGTACTATCAAACAACAGAAACTCTGTAGTCACAAGAGTCGCGGATTCTACGCTTATGCACCTAATCAGATATGATTACATGGCTTCTAATTTACTATCCACTTCTAACATTTTTATTAAACCTTTGTAACAGATATTCATTTTAATGTTGCCGAACCGCGCGTTTCTAAGCATTAGCCTGTTTCGTGAACTCTCTAGTCTGTTGCATAGGACGAGAATTTCTATTTGGATACTAATCATGTTCAATACTTGGTGCGATCCTCGATTATTGTCACCCACGTGTATACAGCGTCCGCAAGCCAAAGGCGACTAGAACTTACGGGCGAGGAAAGCTCTTCTGAACATTATCATTCCTCTACAAGTCCTGCTTTTGCCGTAGCCAACGCATCTGTTATGGTTATTTCCCTTTGGGTTAGCGGCTGGTCGGTCGTTGTAAACACAACTGATGACTGTCCCCCTCAATGATTTTATCTGCTGCAACTAAAAGTCGGCGCGACAGTGCAGCAGACGAGCCGTCGTTTCTTATCGAAATTTATAATGTGATAATTATTATTCAATTTTAGCTATTTTATGCATATATTGCGTGCAAGCTAATCGTGACTTACGCTGGTTTCATTCGGCGCTTTTACCAAGATAAATTTTACGAAGACAAGTTAGCTTCTAGCGCTTTTTTTGTTTAGCTACCTGTAGATTGTTGGTCATGCTTTGAGTAAGTATATTTAATCTACTTCTATATGCCCCTAGAAAATTTTGCGTAAAGTTACGTAGAAGAATGATGCGAGTTTGCTGAAGTTTGCCTTCGGCCTTAAGTGCGTGGTTGCAAGCTTATTTCATCTCGGAAATTATATGTGAGGAGTGTTTTGCTTACGTATCAGGGGGTTATTGCACATCATTCATGACGTGATTATCGTGACCACGCGGTACTACTATAAAGTAACAATTTTTCCTATTTTCTATATCTATAAAATTTGTATCCATGGGTGTATTGATTGACAAATTTATTTTTTTACTTTGTACACAATATCGTGTTGACGTTTGTTCCGAGTAACTTGTTGACCACGGTTTTTCTGTAAGCCTGTCATTGTTATTTCGTCTTTGTTTCTGATCATCTTATTTATGGCTATGCGAAGTTTCATTAGCGAACAGCAACCCCCTTATGCTACATCGGTATGATGAACTTTGTTCCTGAAGCATCGGCCCTGTTTCGAGCGGTTATAAGAGTAGGTAGAAACATGAAAGTGCTTTAAACTGACTTCAATTAAAAAGGTTTCTTACAAGTTAACTGGTTTGCGTGCCACTATTCGTATTGTTATGCAACATATCGAAGCAGTCGCCATAGTGACACGAACGTCAGCGTTGCATTGGACGATGAAGCCTGTTACTAACTGCGTTGCTGGGAAATCTGCTCAAGACGGGGTCTACCTATATTGGTCATATGGCTGTTAATCCTGCCCAAGCAAACAAGGCTATCATGCATCGCAAATGATCCCATTACTATGAATGCTAATACAGTAGTTTCATTTATTACCCTTTTTCATGTATATATATATCCACTTCAGTGCACTTCATTGCTATTACTTTGATCATGACATGATCTACCGTAACATCTCATCCCAAAATTATTCATTGACTGATTAGTTTTCATTGTTTTTTTTTCTTTTTTTTAGAATTAATACCGCACTACACGAATCGTAATCTTTTCGATCAATTTTTTGCCACGGACAACTGTCATTTTTTTGATCTCCAGCTCTAATTTTTTTTTATCCTAATTTTTTAGATACTTGACTTCATTCATTTATTGGTCATTCTCTCATATGCAATTAAAAAGGCTCTTTTCATAACATTCTTAATTTGCTTAATTATTTTTGAAGTTTTTTTTTGTTTTTATCGACGTCTTGCCGCTGTCTTTTATTTTATCGTATAGAAAATCATACAAAGCCATCTCAGACAAGTGGGTACGAAGCCTGAGTAGCAATGCCGCACTCATTTTCCGAGTTCCTTGCCATGAAGATGTAGCCATCTTGACCCCAGGTCGTTCCCCACGAATTTTTAATGATGTAGTAGTCGTCGCCGTCATCGGTTGTTCCATAGCCGACGGCCAGGACACCGTGGTCAAGTTTTTCGTTGTCACAATCGGGCGGGTTGTAGATTCCGTTATGGTAGAACTGGAAGCTTTCGTGTGATGCGTCAATGGCTACTGAGATAGGACCAACAGTGGCGAGAGCCTTGGTAAGGGCAGCTTCGCTTCCGGATGGGATGTCGACGAAGCCGGTGTCCTCACCTCCTCGGCTTTCCACTGTGTAGCGGCAAGGTAGGCCATCCTTACCTTCGTACGGATAGGCTTTCTCGGTGTCGATTCCTTTGTTTCTCTTGATGTACTCGAATGCGAAATCTATGAGACCGCCATTGCAACCATGGTTGCCATATTTAGACGAGCAATCGATAAGGTTCTGCTCTGAGAGGGAAACAAGCTTGCGAGTCTTACGGAAAATTTGACCTTCGAGGGCACCGGTAGTTGAAAACGCCCAGCACGAGCCACAGTGACCCTGGTTTTTAACCGGAGTGACGGCGCCCTTTTTCCGCCAATCGATGCTGCGTGGTAGAGTGATAGATTCGGGTTCGATCCATGCCGATCCTGTGCGAGTACGATTTATCCGAAGCAAACCGTTCATCTTCGACGTGAACTCATGGTGGAGCTAGAGCAGAAGATACAAGAAAAAACTAAGTTATGTATACAGATGCTAAACGACACTCACGTGCGCGTCAAAACGAAGTGGTTACCCTATACAGATATTGCATATGTCTTCAACCCTGGAGGACCCAATACATGACCCCATCTTCCTACCTTATCTACGCAATGTACTACATTATATCTATACGGACAAAATCAGTACTCAATATGACAAGCCACATTGATCTGATCACGTGAGAATTTTCGCTAACACTAGTATAATCCGATAAAATCGATATGAGAAAGACGCAGTCATTGTTTGATTACGTTATTCAACTTCGATATGGAAACAGTTGGCTAAATGCAGCACTGCTCAAGCGCCTCATAGCAGTGTACGGATATACGCATGACGGTCTTGTGGACGTTGTTTTTCGCGCGACGCTAATTTATTGCGTTGTTTGTATTCAAACAAGAAAGATAGAGGTTGATCTATCCATCTTGCAAGTAGGCAACACAACAAAAATGTGCCATTCACGGAGCATTGATACTTAGCATTCGTATATGAAGAGTTTCCGTTTCAAAAAAATGCTTATCAGTCGCATGCATGTGCAGGGATTAAGGAACTATGTTTCGGATGTATGGACTGGATACTGCGCTATTCCAAAAAGTCATTTAGAAGGCGCTCCTTAAAGACGCGTGACTATTTTTTGCAGAAGAACAAACACCTTTCTATCCACTGCCTTGGTGTGGCACGTTTAACTAAGCAAATTTGTCTCCTCCCTGTATCTTACTATCGACTACCTACATCTACTATAAAGGAACGGCAGTTATGGCAGCCATCAGCGTCGACCGCCTGCCGAAATGATTTCCGTAGCATCAAAGGTAGTGTCATGCGGCCTCGAACGAACCGCTTTTTGCTCGTCGATTGACCGGTGTAGCTGAGGAACATAACATTGTTCGATGCGTGTCACTAAACACCAACAAACAATATGCTGTTTGTGTTTGTTTGGGTGTATGTGTGTGTATGTGTGTTTCCATGTTTGATTTGTATTCTACGGTTGAACGGCGGAGTAATTGGTATGGCCGCGCAGTCAACCGTGGAGTTAGCTGGGCCCTAGAATGGGCTATATATTCATCGACAAATAAAATAACCCTACCCGATCTGTCGTCTATTGTCCGTTTCCAATGTTGTCTATTCCAGGCACTGTTCTACTGAGTCCACTTCACGATAATATCTGCTAGGTAGATATTACGTAAACAGAACTACGCAATTGTGATGAGGGCTCCAACATGGTGACTAATGAGAATTGGCGATCATCGATCGCGTAAAAGAAAGCGACAATTTTGCAGGGCATCGTATAGCTGTCATGCACGGATCGCGTTGTTGATCAAGACTATGCGTCCTATACCTGAGACTAAACCCGAACAGAATATGGAATCTGTGTCTTTCCTTCTTTTTTTTTTTGCTAAAAACAAGGCTCTCAATCCACTCACTGTGGTCAGATGGTAATGCCGTTAATAAGAATCGCAAATTATGCTGCTGAGCTGACAAAGAAACGTCGGTCCCCACCAGGAAATCATTCGATTACATGCACCTGCATGGTATGAACCGACCTGATAAAGCCTGGGCGATCCAACAAGAAAATCTTCTAATGATCAATTGACTTGATGAGGTGAAAAGTCAACCTCAATGTGCGGCGTTTTTGGGACATTTTTGCATTTGACCATTTAATCTAAAAATGTATTTTTTCGTTTAGTGTTTTTCTGAACCATTGGATTATCTTCGGACGATACTCTTTGATTTTTTATTCTTTCTTCATCCGTTCTATTGTAGTTCTGTTTAATATATATGCCACAAATTTGATTGATCGATGACTCTGACGAAGGCTAAATATGATGATCGTTCCTCTTCAACTCATTCACATCATCTGCGCTGTCTGTGACTAAGCCTTAGACAGGTCTGCTCCTGGTGAGTCATGTCACCGATGACGGTCTAGAGAACGACAGATAGCATATGCTACTGCTGCTACGATAATCATCCCATTGAATTTCATCTCTTGCAGCTTCGGCGATCCATTAATGTTAAATTGACGCTTTTATTTATGAAGATCAATCACTGTAAACCTGTTTTGCAAGACGGTTCAATGCAGTAACCAGCCACTATAGTTATAAGCGAGCTCATGTGAAACAAAGCTGTCTTTTCAGCCTGTCTATAGTTTTCTTTTTGTACTGCCTCTTTACCTGCTTGATTAAGACGCGTTACCATCCTGACGGTTGTTTCGCCTGCCTACTGCCAGAGTCACCCCGTATCCGATATTGATAAGACAGCAGGTAGAACGTAGAGAACCTATACGACAACAACGAATCTGGTCGGAGATGAAGTTCTTATTACTGTATATACGTGTGTGTACATGTACGTAGGGCCCAGCATAGAAGTTCAACTAGTTCCAACTACGAGCAGCAGCGATAGTTAGACAGGTCAAGCAGAGCTATCAGGCAACAGGCATAACTTTTACCGTAGTGGTTTGACGCCGCTGTGCAGTAACTGCGATGGAGCTCTTCAATGGACAGGTAGAACCTGAGAAACAACGTGCCCTAGGCGCCAGTTATCGCCGGTTAGTCGGCTGGTACATTGAGAAGCATTGCACCCCATTTTACCATTGCTACCTGTATTGTTGCTGCTGGTGTCGCTTGTCACACAGGCCGTCCTTCTTACTACTACTACTACTGGTAGCCGTAACAACAGTAATGAATAGTAGGAGTCGTCAATCTACGATGGAGTACCCCGGGATTCAGGTAGACGACAGACATAATCGTAATCTCACCTATACGTACGATCAGGCGTGCGGGCTCACAGACATACCGACCTATACGGCGCCAGTCACTCTAGCGATTGACAGATTTACACATACACACAGATTAGGTACGGCGCCGGACGTCGCTGCTGCCGCGGTCCCTGTCGCAGTAGCAATAAGCAAACGCAGCTAAGCATGTGTTAGGAGAAAGAGGACGGCCACAACGTGAACGTAGTCATCGACAACCACTACTGCCAACGCCGCTTATACTCGCGGCGTCGACAACGACGGCGATAGTTTCAGCAAAGGTTGGCCAGCCAGTGAGTCAGCTAAATCAGATCATATTGTTAGTATTATAGAATAGCGGACGTACGCGGTCGAGCTCGCGCATTTGATCGGGTACAATCGAGAAGCCACTACTGCTGCTATCACTGCTTGGGCAAATAAAACAGCGATAACCATAGGAACAGACGCAGCTGCAGTGGCACCAGTCGCTGAGGGCGTCCCTTGCATCTGGCGAAGGTAGCATAGCCCATCAATAGAATATAGCACATAAATGGTGGTAGAACGCTGCTACACGGCCATTTTTCCGCCGTAGAACACAACAGAGTTGTGACCAATTTGGCCTGCCCGCGCAGGTCGTTACGCGTCTCTGCTGTCTTTTCGCCTTGCTGCATTCGGGCCGGGAACCGCGTGTGGTCGCGCGCATCAAAAACGCGCGAGACGCCAGTTGACAACATTAGACAACGGCCTCAGTTCAACATTTAGTATTGGCAGGATGCGGTGACGAACCACGAACCAGCTCGATCCTTTGGACCCACGCGTCCAAAGGAATTGCAACGCTCCAGTTCTTGCCGGCACCTCTTCCTGGTCATGGTAGGCAATGAAAAAAGATGAAATACAACACAGAAGCAGGCAGCGATGGAGAGTTTAGGTGGACGCGGCGTCAACGGCAGTGATGGCGTTTCGCGAGTCGCAGGGCAGTGGTGGTCGATTGTAATGCCGCCGTTGCCATAACCAGCAAACGTGACTGGCCATCAGTTTATCTTCGAGCGCGACCGACGACGACACGACGCTAATAATAGAAGTTACAGTCGAGTCGAAGCAACAACAGCAGTGGTGGTGTCACAGAATCCATCTAACGTATCGGTCTGCGTTTAGTTTCGGAAGGTCGACTGCTTATTGATAGTGGGACGGGAATATCATTTGTGGTATTGGCAGCACGTGGGTAAATCGCGCAGAGGAAAACAACCTTGCTCAGAAGTTGCCCGCTAATAGTCTGTCAACGAAACGCTACGTTCTAATCGCGAGTGAAGAGCGGACGGTGTCCAGTGTTTGACGTGAGCAAGGTCTGAACTCCTTCAAGCGGTTTTTGAGTGGTCGCTATTGGATTACTCAGCTTCGTGTCATATAATACAACAGCAGCGATCTTCGCTACTCAGTTCAAGTAGAAATCGGCAGCTAATGCTGCAAATACGTTCTCCATTCAGCGAAAGCGCCTTTACCTGACGCAGTGAGCATCCCCAAAAGTTCTCACTGCAAAAATGTGCAGTATCCACAATACGTCCATTTGTCTTCATGCTCCTGTTGCACTCCTTTTTCGGACCTACACATAGGAGCCCGCGTCCCATTAGAGTAGACGCTCACGACGGCGGCGACGGCGGCGGCATCGCCTGCGTCGTGCCACTGCACACTGTGAGCGTGACAGCAGTGCGACAGGAGTTACCTGCTACTGCAAGTAGGCAAAGCTGGCCACAGCGGTTTGCGTTGTCATTGTTCATCATGGTAAATGCCGCCATTACGGCAGGAGCAATCCTGCAATTGCGCGCACTGCCTCTAGTGTTGCCAGCGTCAAAGCTGTACAAAAGAGGATAACAACACGCGACCTAGTCATTTCTTGCGACAACGCACGAGTCAGCTGCTTAGTCAGTACGTCGCATTTTGCTTCAGTACCCAAACAAGTAGACCCTTTCACCGTGGCCGTATTGGGCTAACGTAGACAGCCAAGCAATACTGGCACTCCGTGAGGAAGTTAACATTGAGCCGACGGAGCGTATATTAGTCGTCGCTGATGAAAGTTGCTATTCACAGCACAATGATTGTATGCACGGACAATGCGATATCTGCTATAGGGTGGTGATTGGCAAAATATCATAGTGCAGTGACAAATATCGTACTATCAGCCATTTTGTAAGTGCTGTTTAAAGTTTGCGATCGAAGAATATCAATT